CCATTGTAAAATTTCAAGATCAAATTAATGAATCTGTAAAATGAAATTATGTAAACTAGGAGAAACTAATGTTATGATTTGTATTTGTGCCTTTTAAAACACAATTGAATAACCTCTATACTCTTAAAATAGATTTATATAAAAATACTATAACATCAAAATACAAGAAAAGTTCTATTCTAATAAATTTTAAAGAGGAATGTTCTAACCGCACGAAGCGCGAGTACATTTACTAGTATACTTAAAATATAACTCCTAAAATATATATTTGACCATAAAATTTCAAAAATCAACTTATACTAGAATTTTTAAAAATTTGAAAAACAACAAAAATGTGTTTTCACTTTAAAAAAAATATAAAATATAACTCCTAAAATATATCCACGTGTCTTATGCATACACGTATCACAATTATGTCAAATTTACCAATACAAATCCTCCACAATTTCATAACTCTCTCCTATCTACTTATGAAGAAAAAATATATTTCGATAAATATCACTACTATAAAAAAAAAAAGGAATATCAAAATATTGTCAATTTTGCAATGGTGAAAGGGTGACACAATCCTAATGTTGAAGAAGAATGGTACTTAGAGGAGAAATTCTAAAGTTTCATGTGCAAGTCTCGTGATTTTCAAAGTTAATATGACATTAGTTTTGTTAGAAAGAATATGGAAACTACTTTGTTACACATCCATACATATCATAATTATTAACCTATCTATAGTTTCAAATATTTACCTATCGTACCACTAATTAATAATTTCCAATTATATATTGAGGAAGATATAACTAAATGATAATAAATGTATTTTTTATACCAAATATGCTAAAATATGGAGAGAGGCACACGAGATGAGGAGAGAGGCGAGCGAGATACTTATGTATCTCAGATACATATGAATCATAATAGATACATGTATCTGCATGAATCTGGTATGTTTCGTATCCTAGATACATGTGAATCCACTTGGATACAATGTATCTAGAACGAATTACACCAAATTTTGACCGCATGTATCCCGAGATAAATGTATCTGGACACATCAAAAATTGATAAGTTCTCTAAAAAATATCTTTTGAGCCTAATATACCCATAAGGGTTGCTGGCTAAATGAGTCGGCCCATTAGTTAATGTAACCCTAAACCCTAACTCAATCTATATAAACACCATTATGTGAGTTGGAAAAACAACTCTAAGAATGGCGAGAGCTAGTTATTCTATAACAGTAAATGATTTTTAGGCTCGGAAATTCATCTAGTCAATAGAGGATTCCTAACCACTAGTGATTCAAATCGGGATTTCTGCAGATGATACACTTTTGCCCAAGAGAATTATTGTAAGTCTCAAAACTAACATTTAATCATTAAATTGCAAGTTTACAACTGTTAATTGAAATGTGAGAAATATAGTTTAAACTCTTCCGAGGTAGTATAAATAAAATCTTTTGAAATCTTTTGGATGATTTAGAGCTGCAACCCTTCCAACATACTCAATTATGTAAAAAATGTTTAACTCTTCTAATTCGAAATAATTAAAGGAATTATTTTGGATCAGTAAATTTAGACATATTTTATATTATTGTATTATGTTGTAGTGGTGACAGCTATAGATCATTCAAAATAATTCAAATTGATAAAAAATGAAATTATTGAGTTACTTTTTTTCATGTAGGGATATAATGCACTTACTTCTCAAAATTCAATGACATAATTTAGACTTTATCTCTATATAAAAAAATTAAAGAATTTTAATTGAATGCCGATTGAGAAATTTTAATACTGAACCCTATTTAGTGATTTTAATTAAAGAAGAAATGTTGTTCATTATTTCCAAATCAAAACCATCTTCTAATGTTATTTAAGAAGTTCAAAATCAATCCTAAATATATTAAAAAGTAAGATTCACCCTTTCATTATTCATAGTTATAAAATCAAAAACTTGATTTGCCTAATCAACTTGGCAAAACTAAAATATAACGTTACCTGCATGATCATAGGCGAATTCAGAATTTGAAAACTTTGGGTGTATTAATATTACATCTAAGATAAACTTAAAAAATAAAAACAATAAAATAGCGTTCTAGCTAGATTTGAACTCAAGTCTCGAGGTTGGTTCCTCTAGCTTGTACCAGTACAATGGCAAACATATACTCTTCATGGGTGCACAATTAATTATATCATAATTTATGTCAGTTTCACATGATAGATATACACATATACACATGAATTTTTCTGAAGTTAACAAGTGCACGTGCACCCACCCTACCGTCTCTGTGCACGATGTGCGTTATATTTTTTAAAATATATTTAACTGAATTGAATTATGTCATCCTCTTACCATCAATTTTTTTGGTTGCATGTATTGTAAATTTACTATCAAATTTAGTAAGTTTAGACTGACCTAAGAAATGATATTTAGAAAAAACTTTGAAATTTCATGTGCAGGTTATATTACTGAAATATGAGAACTGTTCATTTCCAAAAATAAAAGTGATGTAAATCATCACAAATTCTTATTAAATGTAAGATCTGACATAATTTACTAAATAATAGGTAAAAATTAAAATAAAATTTCAAAAGAATATTTTTCAAATTATGATGGACATTCATTGTTGAGATAACACTATTTTTTTTCGAAAAATATCACTAATATAAAAAAGGAATATCAAAATATTGAGGTTGATTTAAAGAAGAATGATATTTAGAGGACAAATTTTAAAAATTTCACGAGCAAGTTTCGTGATTTTTAAAGTTGATATGACATTAATTTTGTTGTTAGAAAGAATAGGAAACTATCTTATTAGACATACATCCATATCATATTTATTAATTTTTTATGTTCTTTCAAATAATTATGTATCATATCACTAACTAATAGCTTCCTATCATACATTAAAAAAGATATAGCTAACTGGTAATATATGTATTTTTGATACCAAATACGCTAAAGTATGGAGAGAGGTGTGCGAAATGGGGAGGGAGGCGAGCGATATACTAGTATCTCAGATATATACGAATCACACTAGATACATGTCTCTGCATGTATCAAGTATCATTCATATCCCATATACATATGAATCCACTTGGATACAATGTATTTAGAATAAATTACACCAAATTTTGACCTCATGTATCCCGAGATCAAAATCTAGTAAGTTTTCCAAAAAATATCTTTTGGTCCTAATATACCCATAAGGGGTGCTAGCTAAATGAATCGGTCCATTAGTAAATGTAACCCTAAACCCTAACTCAGTCTATACAAACGCCATTACGAGATTTGGAAAAACAACTCTAAATCGTCCAGAGAACGGCGAGTGCTAGTTATTTTACAACACTAAATGACTATTAGTCTGCGGAACTAGGAAATTCATCTAGTCAATAAAGGATTCCTAATCACTAGCGATTCAAATCAGGATTTCTGCAGACGATACACTTTCGTCGAGGACATTTATTGTAAGTTTCAAAACTAACATTTAATTGTTAAATTGCAAGTTTAAACTTCTAACTGAAATGTGAGAAACATAGTTTAAACTCTTCCGATGTAGTATAAAGATTATTTTTTTAAAGTATTTAAAAGAATATTTTATAAATCGTAAAGAATAAGAATGCTAATTTTTTGCCTTTGATTAAAGCACTTGTTCTATGCCTAAATTTTTTCCTTAAATTAAATTATTATAGAACAAAATATAAAAAAGGCAAAAAAAATAAAATATGAATGGTATCATCTTGTTGAGTGATTAAGGAAAAATTACATAAGTGAAGGTCTTTTATTTAATAATTATCACTTTTAAGTATACTTTTAATTTATTACCATTTTTGTCAACTTTAGCAATACTTACTAAAACAATTTTGTTTCTTTAAACTTAGCAAAAAATGTTGTCATTCACAACTTTTAGCAATACTGCCGTTCAGCCAAATTGTTATATATAATGTTGACAAATATCATAAATATTTTTTAAAAAGTGTACACATAAGTGATTTTCCGGATAATTAATGTGCACATAAACTAAATTAGACATCACTATTAGTCACAACCAAAATCCCTACATGAAAAAAAAACTTGCTAATTCCATCTCTTCTCAATTTGAAATCTTTTGGATGATTTAGAGCAGCCACCCTTCCAACATACTCAATAATATTTAAAAAATATCTAATTTTGCCGACTCGAAATAATTAAAGAAATTATTTTGGGTAAGTAAATTTAGATATATTTGATATAATTGGTTATGTTGTGGTGGTGACAGCGAAAAAATTTATCCGCATCGGGTGTATACACCAATTCAATACATACACACATCATGTATTTAAATTTACAGTTCATTTTACTTAATCTTAATTAATTAATATGTGTTTTATTTTATTAAATTAATCACGTAATAGTGAAATTAATCGTACTAAATGAATACATGCATAAAGTATATCAAATACATGCATCCAATGTAGTAATTTGTGAGATAAATATAAAAGAAAATGAGTTAGGTTGGGTCAGGTATAAATTGAATTTTAATTAAATTTGATCGGTATAAAGAAAAATAAAATGTAAAAAAGAATTTAAAATTTTACATGACTAAAATATGAAAATAATGTGACTTACACGATGAAATTTATATTTGAAAATATAAACCAATTTTGTCCATATCATTATTTTTTGTAATTCAAAAAACCTCTTCACCCATATTAAATATCCAAATTATAACAATCCTAAAAATTCAAACTTCTTTAAATTTTTGTTACTTCTTCCCAAAACGGCAAAACCTGCCTCTTCCCCCTTTTCCTTTATATCCATCTGTCTTTCTTTGTTTTTTTTTTTTTTCTATATCAAGAATCAAGAAAACAAGGTACTTAATTTTTTTTCTCTCTTTGTATGATTTTTTTAATATATGATTTATATGCAAAATTGGAATGTATATATTTATAATTAAGGAACAAATATATTTGATTTTAATTTCCTTTAATTAACTTTTTTTTTTTTTTTTTTGCAGTGTATGAAGGAAGATGAATGATTTTGATAAACGTCTAGCTAGTTTGAAGAGTGTTTTGACATGTGAAATTTGCAAAAAGCTATGCAAAGATGTCACAATTATTGAAGAATGTTGTCACAGATGTCAGAAAATTTTAATTTTTTTTTGGAGGGTTTAGTTTTTTATTTGGGTGATGTTAATAAATTATTTGTATTTGTGATTTCATGATCTTAATGTTCAGATTTTCTTTGTTATGTTCTTTTCATTGTTTTTTTATTATTCTCGGTGAAGCGGAGTTATCGAGATAACTTTTTATCTCTGCGGTCGGTAGGCTTAAACCCTACTTTGTGAGAGTAATGGTGTGTGTTGTTGTTGTTATTGTTGTAATTTTTTTGGATTTTTTATTTTTAATTTCAGTGATTTTGATAATCATTTGTTCTTGTCATTTCAGCATCCTGAATTTTTTATTTTTTTTCGTTCTTTCGAATGTCTTTTTTTAAAGATGAATTTAAACATAATTTTTTTGGAGTTCATTTTTATTTGAGTGATTTTGATGAATCATTTGTACTTGTGATTTCATAATATTGAATTTTTTGTTTTCTTTGTTACGTTCTTTCCGATATTTTTCTTATTCTCACCGAGGCGGAGTTATCAAAACAACATTCTATCTCTGCATATCATCAAACACTACTTTGTGAGACTATTGGTGCATGTAGTTGTATTTTTGTTTTTTTTTAAAAAAAAAATATTCAGTGTTTTATAAATTATTTGTTCTTGTCATTTGAGGATCTTGAATTTTTTATTTTTACTTTTTTTTTTCATTCTTCCAATGTTTTTTTTTAAAAAAAAAGATTAATTGAAATGTAGTTTTTTTGGAGTTCATTTTTTATTTGAGTGATATTGATAAATCATTTGTATTTGTGATTCCATGATCTTGAATTTTTGAAATTTTTTTATATTCTTTTCATTGTTTTTATTTTAATTTAAAATTTGAATTTTTGTTTTTGGGGGTTTATTTTTTTTAATCGCTCTTTCCAATGATTTCCAATAGAATTTGTGTCATTTCCAAGGTTTATGTGATCTAGGTCTTTTATACATGAACTTAGTACATACTATCATGTTTCTTGATTAAACAATTTATTTATTTATTTATTAACTTTCTTGTATGATTAATTTGTTTCAATATGGTTCAACATTTTTTTGTTTCTTGTCACTTTTATTTTTAACATGTCAAATTTCTTTATAGTTTATGGGTTTTTTCTATGAAATTCGATTAATTTATGTTAATTTTTTTTGACAGTTTGCAAGAAATGCATAACAAGGAGGATATCAAAAGAGAAATGGAATGTTTGTCCAGAATGCAATATGGATTTAGGTGTTACCCCCTTGCAGAAAATCAGGTATATATAATTCTCCGCTTTAAATATTTTGAATTGTTAATTATAGTGACGTATATCTTATTTTTTTGTAGCTTTCATAAGTATGTTTTATTGAAAAAGCATGAAAACCGTATTACATAAAGTGGAACGGAGAGAGTTATATACTTTTTTCGTCTCATTTTATTTTGGATGTGTTACTATTTGGGGAGTCATATAATATTTTCTTTGACTATAGTTTTTCCCCAAAAGTTAAAAATCCAAATATTTTGAATCATTCACTATATTGACTTGCAATGTAGTTTTCAAATATATAATTTTATTTTTAAAAATTTGAACGATCTGTACCCAAATTCTTAGTCAAATTCAGTATTTTGATTTTCTTCTGTTGAGCATAGGCACCTGTTGCAGCATTATATGTTAAAAGTGTTATTGTTTGAGAAGTCAACTTTTTTCCATAAAGCATAGTATGATTCATTAACTATATTGATATGGAGTATTTTTCGTGTAGTTTTTAAATATATATATATATATATATATACATTTTATTTTTAAAAATTTAAAGAATTTATATCCAAATTCATAGTTTCAATCTTCATACTCTGTACCCTTTCACATAATTTGAGATAGATGGAGTACATATTATCAGTAAAATTTCAAATACAAGTACAAGATTTTGACTTTAGCTTCTCTCGAACCAGTTGGCAGAACCGTAATTCCGTTCCTTCTATATATATGTGTGAAAAATAAGTATTGATATAACCTTATAATGCTTAATTTTACAGGTCTGATCACCAAATGCAAGGGATAAGAGACATATTCTCAAGCAAAAGAAGAGAATTAATTGAGCTTGGACTAATAGAAAAATACAAAAAAGATGAACCCAAAAAGTTAGCTCGTGAAGATATTGATCTTAATTATAGTGCCGAAATGCTCATTGATCCATCGCCTCCTCCTCCTGAACCTGTTGTTGTTGCTACAAGCTCAAGGAGAAAGGAGAAATCAATTTCTTCCCTAGTAAATACTACACCACTTGTTGTTGATGATCAAGTTTCGAATCAGGACAACGTTTCGAGTAGTAGTACCGGAAGGGGAAGGGGAAGAGGAAGAGGAAGAAGAAGAGGAAGTTCACAAAATAATGCTAATGTTGTTGATCTGAATAATGGAGATGCGCATCCAGGAAGTTTAACCATTCCTCTTCATTCTAACAATGATACTCATTATAAACAACAGGTACAATTGAAATCTACTTTATGTTTTAGTCATGATGATTCATATAGCTAACCTTAACCTATGGGTATTGAGAAGGGGGGGGGGGGGAATTGTAATAGCTATTGTTATATGGAAAAACAATTATTTTTATTGGGACAAACTAAAATAAAAAATGCAATTATAATTGATATAATCAGATAAAGGGAACTGATCAGCCATAAAGTTCAAGCATTCCTCTTCTTGCAGGCAAAGCTACTCAACATAAAAAAACAAGTATGAGTTAATCATACGCTAAGTTGTTACTTTTAATATCGTACTTGAGTTGGATTCTTCTAAAATAAATTATACTTTTGAAGAATTTGACATACATTCATTGACATTTTTAAAGACTCTGAATACTGTAGGTCGATCATATGTTTGTATTAGGTAATTATTTCTTGTCTAGTCATTAACGAGTTTGAACAACTAGTTAATGTTCAACATGTGTTAGGTGAAAGTAATTGACTTGGTTGGAATCTGAGCCAAATTTAGGTTGGATTAAGTGAGTTCAACTGATATCATTATTTTTTATTCAAATTGTGTACATATGTGGATCACACTCATTCTCAACCTAGGTATATATAAGCTCTAAACATTTTGTTGAACGTTGGACCAAGATCCATGAGGCAGATCTATCCACATCCAAAGGGAGTCAATTGACAACTCTTAGCAATAAATTGCACTTATATATACTATATGTTGAATTCTTTGACTAGTTCATTTAAATTTTTTCTAAATACTTCGAATTTCTTTAGTGAATGAAAACTGTACTAACTCTTGTGATCACTTGTTGAAGGTTGAGAGTATTGGTTATGTTGTTGAGTCCTCAAAAAATAATGGCATCTCAAAGAAAAACAAAAGTATTGAACCATTGGATGGGATGAATGACTTATGGGAACCATTGAACAATTTGGTAACAAAAGGTGACACCTTAGACAATTCCAAAGAGTCAGTTCCAAAGTTCATCAGTAGTACTCCACTAATCAATCTTGATGATTATGAAAATGAGGACGACAATGATGATAACGTAGAAGAGGAGGAGTATGTGCCTTCACCAAAAGTTAAGGAAAACAAAGTTAGCAAACAAAGTGTTGTTCAAGCTATTGAAGCACCATCAAGTAATCATAATAATAATATTGATAAAGGGAAAAAGGGACGACGTGGAAGAAAGAAAAAAGAAATAAATAATCCTCCTCCTCCTCCTCCTGTTGGTGGCGGTGTTGTTGGTGGTGGAAAAAATATTAATGTGGCACAAGTTGGAGTTACTACTGAGACAACAGGAGGTACAAGCAGTGGTAGTACAAGAGTATTGAATGAAAGAGTCCATCCCATGTGGTTCACTTTGGTTGCGTGTGATAAGCAGTGAGTTTAATTCTATGAATTTCAATTTTCTGTATTACTCTTCTCTGTATTATTTCAATTTATGTGACACTGTTTGACTAGATATGATTATTTCAGGAAAGGTCCTTCACCCTTGCCACAAATTTCTTCCCGCTACATAAAGATCAAGTAAGCCTTTAATTACATTTAAATATTTACAAAATTATTATGTCCTGTCTATATATATATTCTTGTAGTTCTAGATGGAGAATAACACTTTGAACATATCTTACCACTATATAAGAAATGCTGCTCATTCATTTTTTATTAAAACTGTAGTAGCCATTGTGGCATGCATAAATCAGTTTGGCAGAGGTAATTAGTTTTTTTTTTTTTTAAATTCTCTCTCAAAGGAAAGGAAGACTTGACGTTACTGGTAAAGTTGTTGCAATTTGATTAGGATATCACAAGATCGAGCTAGGAAAACAACCTCTTACAGAAATGCAGAATAAAACTGTGTATAATGAACCCTAATGGTCTGGGCCTTCCCTGGACCTCGTATAGCGATAGCTTAATGGAAGTGTAACCCCCTCCCCCCGATGTTTTATTTTCTTTCAAATACTATATACATCTTTTTACTTTTCAAAATACCTCTTAACTTCAATTAATATGTTATACTTCTTTTCTGGTTAAATAGGGATGTGAACAAGTCGTCTTCCTACATAAAGAAGTACCTTGCACACAAATTGAGTCTCCAGAGCGAAGACGAGGTAATTAAATACTTATCATCTACCTTCTGCTTGATACATGATTATTAATTTCCATCGTAATAATTTGTCTTGTAGGTGGAGATTCACATGCTAGGAATGCCAATTCAGCCTTCTTTGCCTCTCAAACATCTAGCAAAATTGTGGTTAGATGTAGCACCTAAATCTGGAAAAAATTTAGCAAAAGTTGGAGCTTCTGCCCAAGAATTTGTCATGGTTTTGAACTATTCTCGACCACACCCATAACTGAATTAGTGTATCAAAAATGTACAATATTTCAGTTTCTCCTTTTGCTTAAATATTCAAATTTTGCAAGGAGAAAACTTCTTGTTGCATATTGTTAATTACTTTTCATTTGTATGTTTTTTTGTAAACTCAATTAGATGTTTTTGAGTTACTTGTTTTGCACCTTAGCTATAAGTGGTTTATTAAGAATTGTGTGTATGTGTGTGTTTTTTTATATAATTAAGTCAAAACTTAGAATACAAAATGTTGATAAATTCTCTTTACTTTTAGCTAGTAGAAATTGAAACATTTTGGATGGTTGATTTGTACGTAAAGGTTCATTTGAGACCTGCTTAAATGTGGATAATTTTTTCACTAACAAACAAAAGAACAGTAAATAAAGGAGAATAAGAATCTTATTTCTCCTTTTTTTGGTTGTTGAAATCAGGGGCAGAGGAAGAGGGACCAATGAGCTTCATTCAAAACCTGCTTTTTCGAACATTATGCTTAATATACAAAGGATTTTTAGTGATATGGCTATCGGGAACAGAACCATCCGTAAGGACCTAAGGAACAATTTCTATAGCCTCACCATGATCCACACCTCTTCTTTCAATATTAAGGGGCCACTCAGCAAAAATTAGACGATTTTCTCAGTTTTTCGTGTGTTAGCCCATTGATTTTTTTGGTGATAAGGCCTCCAGGTATTTCTTTTTCAAACATTTACAAAACCATCTGTAAGTAACTAGGGACCAATTTCTATAACCTCACCATGATCCACACCACTTTTTTCGCATTTAGGAGCCACTCAACATGAATAATACGATTTTCTCAATTTTTCGTGTGTGTTGTTAGCCCATAGATTTCGTGGTGATATGGCTTCCGACAATTTTACTTTGAAATCAATATAGAATCACCCATAACCACCTTAGTAATAATTCCTATAGCCTCACCATAATCTACGCTATTTTGTTAGTATTTAGGTTTCACTCATCATGAATTAGATAATTTTCTGATCAGTTTTTCATGTGTTAGCCCATGGATTTTTTGATGATACGACTTCCGGACACTTTTTGACAAAACCTTTACAAAACCATGCTTAAGGACCTGAGGAATAATTCCTATACGCTCACTATAATCCACACCACATTTTTTTAGCATTTTGGGGCCACATATATATATGAATTAGATGATTTTCTCAGTTTTTTCGTATGTGTTAGCCCATGAATTTTTTTGTTATATATGTATGTTTCAGGGACATTTTTCTCCAACCTTTATGGAAGCATCCGTAAGGACATGGGGAACAAATCCTATAACCTCTCTATGATCCCCGCCACTTTTTTTAGCATTTAGGGGCCACTCAAAAGGAATTAAGCAATTTTCTTAGTTTTATTTGTGTTAGCCCATATATATTTTGGTGATATGATTTCCGGTCACTTTTTTTGCAGAACCTTTACAGAACCATCAATAAGGACCCATGGACATTTCCTATAGCCTCACTATGATCCACACCACTTTTTTAGCATTTAGGGGCCACTCAACTGGAATTAGGCGATTCTCTCAATTTTTATGCGTGTTAAGCTCGTGTATTTTTTTTTGGTGATATGGCTTCTAAGAACTTTTTTTCCAGAACCTTTAATGAACCATCCATAAGGACCTGGAGAACAATTCCTTTAGCATCATCATGAGACACGCCATATATTATAGCATGAAAGGGCAACTCAACATTAATTAGGCGATTTTCTAAGTTTTTCATGTGTGTTAGCCCATGCATTTTTTGGTGAAAAGGCTTTCAGGAACTTTTTTCCACAACCTTTATAGAACCATCTGTATGGATATGGGAAACAATTCTTATAGCCTCACCATGATCCGTGCCACTTTTTTTAGTATTTAGGGGTCACTCAACGGGAATTAGGTGATTCTCTCAGTTTTTCATGTGTGTTAAGCTCATGGATTTTTTTGGTAATATCGCTTCTAGGAACTTTATCCATAAAGATCTGGAGAAAAATTTCTTTAGCCTCACCATGATTCACACCACATTTTTAGCATGAAGGGGACACTCAACACGAATTAGACGATTTTCTCAATTTTTCATGTGTGATAACCCATGTATTTTTTGGTGAAAAGGCTTTCAGAAACTTTTTTCCAGAACCTTTATAGAACCATCCGTAAGGATATGAGAAACAATTTTTATAGCCTCACCATGATCCACGCCACCTTTTTTAACATTTAGGGGTCACTCAACAGGAATTAGACAATTATCTCAGTTTTTCATGTGTGTTAAGCCCGTGGATTTTTTGGTGATATGGTTTCAGGGAACTTTTTTTTCTAGAACCTTTACAAAATCATCCATAAGGTCCTAGAGAATAATTTCTTTAGCCTTACCATGATCCACGCTACACATTTTAACACGAAGGGGCCACTCAACATGAATTAGGCAATTTTCTCAATTTTTCATGTGTGATAGCCCATGTTTTTTTTTTTCCGGTGATAAGGCTTCTAGGAACTTTTTCTCAGAACCTTTATAGAGCCATCCGTGAAGATATGAGAAACAATTCTTATAGCCTCACCATGATCCACACCACTTTTTTTAACATTTCGGGGTCACTCAACATGAATTAAGTGATTCTCTCAGTTTTTCGTGTGTGTTAAGTCCGTGGATTTTTCAGTGATATGGCTTCTGGGAACTTTTATTTAAGAACCTTTTACAGAACCATCCATAAGGACCTGAAGAGTAGTTTCTTTAGCCTCACCATGATTCAGGCCACATTTTTCAGAATGAAGGGTCCACTCAACATGAATTAGGTGATTTTCTCAGTTTTTTGTGTGTTAGCTCATGCATTGTTTTGGTGTTAAGGCTTCTAGGAATTTTTTTTCCAGAACCTTTATAGAACCATATGTAAGAATATCGAAAACAATCTTTATAGCCTCACCTTTATCCACGCCACTTCTTTTAGCATTTAGGGGCCACTCAACAAGAATTATGCAATTCTCTTAGTTTTTCATGTGTGTTAACCTTGTGAACTTTTGGTGTAATGACTTATAGAAACTTTTTTTCTAGATTCTTTTGAATAACCATCCATAAGGATCTGAAGAACAATTTATTTAGCCTCACCATGATCCACACCACATTTTTTAGCATGAAGGGGCCAATCAACATGAATTAGGCGATTTTCTCAGTTTTTTGTATATTTTAGCCCATGCATTGTTTGGTGATAAGGTTTTCAGGAACTTTTTTCCAAAACCTTTATAGAACCATTTGTAACGATATGGAAACAATTCTTATAGTCTCACCATGATCCACACCACATTTTTATCATTTAGGGTCCACTCAACAGGCATTATAAAATTTTCTCAGCTTTTCGTGTGTGTTAGTGCAATGATTTTTTTGTGATACGAATTTTGAACATTTTTTTCCAGAACCTTTGAAGAACGATTTGTAAGGATCTAGGGAACAATTAATATAGCCTTACCATGATCCACACCACTTTTTTAGCATATAAAGGCCGCTCAACAAAAAATTGGCGATTTTCTCAATTTTTCGTATGTGTTATCCCATGGATATTTTTAGTGATATGGTTCCCGAATATTTTTTTTCAAAACCTTTACAGAACCATTAGTAAGGAACCGGGGAACAATTGCTATAGCCTAACCATGATTCACACCACTTATTTTTAGCATTTATGGCCACTCAACAGAAATTAGTAATTTTCTCAATTTTACGTGTGTATTAACCCATGAATTTTTTGGTGAGATGTCTTCTGGGTACTTTTTTATACATAACCCTCAGAGGACCACTCGTAAGGACCTGATAAACAATTCCTATATCCTCAGCATGATCCACACCATTTTTTCCGCATTTAGGGGCCACTCAACAAAAAATAAGTAATATTCTCATTTTTTTCGTGTTTGTTAGCCCATGAATTTTTCGAAGATATGGCTTTTGGATACCTTTTTTCATAATCTTTACATAAATTTTTGTAAACACTTGGGAAAAAAATTCTTATAGCCTCCTTATGATCCAATCCACTTTTTGTTTAACATCTAGGGGCCACTCAACAAGAATTAGAAGATTTTCTTGGTTTTTTTATGCGTGTTACCCCATAAATTTTTGGGTGATATAGTTTTGGAGTACTTCTTTCCAAGTCCTCACAGAACCATCTGTAAGGATATGGGGAACAATTCCTATAGTTTCACGAACCCTCTGCAGGGATTTGAGGGAGAAGTATGTGAAGCCTCACCATTTTTTTTTGCACATATTTTTGGCATTTAGGAGACATTTTATAGAAATTAGGCAATATTCTCAAGTTTTTTAGTGTTAACCTATAAATATTTTAGTGATATGGCTTCAGAATGATTTTTCTAAAAAACTTTGTGGAACCCTTTATAAGGAGTTGGGGGAGAAGTACGTGAAGCCTCGCCCTTTTTTGCACATACATTGGGCATTGAAGAGACATTTTATGTAACACCTCGGACTTCGAAAAGGGCTAAAGAGGGGTTCGTACAAGCCACCCAACAGTTTCAAGTTTTGGGTCAAGTTAAAAAGATAATATCTCTTAGAACATAAAGAATTAGGTGACCCATAGCCTATAAAAGTAAATTATTTTGAGTCATCTTTCCAGTGTGTTGGCGTCGATGAAGGTTTAAAGCCTCTTTCCTTCAACACCGAAAAGCATGCCACCATGTTTGCTTGATTCCAAGCTTGGAGTAAAAAGATATGCCCGTTTTAGTGAAGCCTTCATTTTAAGGCACCTAAATCATTTTAGAGGGGTAGTTTGGTCTTTTTCCATCCTTCCTAAGCCTAGCCCTATTTTTCTTCACCTAATTAAGGGTATAATAAGAGTTACAACATCTTTTCACGTTCTTTAACACTTAGAGGAATTAGAGCAAAGTTCCAAGAGGATAAAAAAGCTAGGTTTCAAGCGTTTTCAAGTTTCCATCGATTTTCACCAAGAAACTTTGTTCTTTCTAGATATGTAAGACTTCTCACAATGTTGGAATTGTTCGTCCTCACGTCCTAC